CATGGTTTAACCCCAGCCAGCAGCTAAGCACCATGCAGCCACTCACTCACTTCCCCCCCAACCCCACCCCCAGTGGGGTAGGGGGGAGAATCGGGGGAAAAAAAAGTAAAACTCGTGGGTTGAGACATGAACAGTTTAATAGAACAGAAAGGAAGAAACTAATAACGATAATAATAACAATAATAAAATGACAATAATAATAATAATAAAAGGATTGGAATATACAAAACAAGTCATGCAGGATGCCATTGCTCACCACTCGCCAACCGATGCCCAGTTAGTTCCCGAGCAGTGATCTGCCCCTGGCCAACTCCCCTTAGTTTATATACTGGGCATGACATCACATGGTATGGAATACCCCTTTGGCCAGTTTGGATCAGCTGTCCTGGCTGTGTCCCCTCCCAGCTTCTTGTGCCCCTCCAGCCTTCTTGCTGGCTGACCATGAGAAGCTGAAAAATCCTTAGTATAAACACTGCTTAGCAACAATTGAAAACATCAGTGTGTTATCAACATGCCTTTCACACTGAATCCAAAACATGACACTATACCAGCTACTAGAAAGAAAATTAACTCTATCCCAGCTGAAACCAGAACAGGGTGTAAGCAAGGATGGATAAGTTGAGAGAAACACAAAGATGTTGTCCAAGCATCCAGGGATGAAGTTACAAAAGCTAAAGCTTCACTGGAGTTGAATCTGGTCACGGATGTCAAAGTGTGATGGGTTGACCCTGGCTAGATGCCAGGTGCCCACCAAAGCCGCCCTATTACTCCTCACCCCCAGCTGGACAGGGGAAAGAAAATATAATGAAAACCTTGTGGGTTGAGATAAGGACAGGGAGATCACTCACCACTTACTGTCACAGGCAGAACAGACTCAACTGGGGGAAATTAGTTTAATTTATTACCAAGCAAATCAGAGGAGGATAATAAGAAATAAAACCAAATCTTAAAACTCCTTTCCCTCCCACCCCTCCCTTCTTAACAGGCTTAACTCCACTCCTGATTTCTTTACCTCCTCCCACCCTGAGCAGCACAGGGGGATGGGGAATGGGGTTTACAGTCAGTTCGTCACACGTTATCTCTGCCGCTCCTTCCTCCTTAGAGGGAGGACTCCTCACTCTTCCCCTGCTCCAGCGTGGGGTCCCACCCACGGGAGATAGCCCTCCATGAACTTCTCCAACGTGAGTCCTTCCCATGGGCTCCAGTTTTTTGTGAACTGCTCCAGAGTGGGTCCTTCCCACAGGCTGCAGTCCTTCAGGCACAGACTGCTCCAGTGTGGGTCCCCTGTGGGGTCACAAGTCCTGACAGAAAACCTGCTCCAGCATGGGCTCCTCTCTCCATGGGGCCACAGGTCCTGCCGGGAGCCTGCTCCAGCGCGGGCTTCCCATGGGGTCACAGCCTCCTTTGGGCACCCACCTGCTCCAGCATGGGGTCCTCCCTGGGCTGCAGGTGGAGATCTGCTCCACCATGGACCTCCCTGGGCTGCAGGGGGACAGCCTGCCTCACCATGGTCTTCCCCACGGGCTGCAGGGGAATCTCTGCTCCGGCGCCTGGAGCACCTCCTCCCCCTCCTTCTTCACTGACCTGGGGGTCTGCAGAGCTGTTTCTCTCACATATTCTTGATCCTCCCTCTGGCTGAAGTTTCTGTTCCACAGCAACTTTTTTTCCCTTCTGAAATCTGTTATCCCAGAGGCACTACCACTGTCGCTGATGGGCTCAGCCTTGGCTGTCAGTGGGTCTGTCTTAGAGCCGGCTGGCATTGGCTCTGTCACACACAGGGGAAGCTTCCAGCAGCTTCTCCCAGAAGCCACCCCTGTAGCCCCCCTGCTACCAAAATGTTGCCACACAAACCCAATACATGAAGGCAATAAGGGCTTCTATAAGTACATAGGTGGGAAATGCTAGGGAAAATGTGGGCCCATTGACGAATGAGATGGGGCACCCAGTTACACAGGACATGGAAAAGGCTGAGGTACTGAATGCCATCTTGGCCTCAGTCTTACTAGCAACACTGGCCTTCAGGAGTCCCAGGTTCCAGAGATGAAGGGGAAAGTCTGGAGCAAGGGAGAAGTACCCTTGGTGGAAGAGGATCAAGTCAGGGAAGACTTAAGCAAACCAGAGGGGCAAAATAAGTCCACAGGCTCTGCTGAGATGCACCCACAAGTGCTGTGGGAGCTGGCAGATGCCATTGTGAGGCCACTCTCAATAATCTTTGATTGGTGACTGGGGGAAGTGCCTGGAGACCGGTGGAAAGCAAATGTAACTTCTGTCTTCCAGAAGAGCAAGAAGGAGGATCGAGGGAACTGAAGGCCTGTCAGCCTCACCTCAATCCCATGGAAGATGACAGAGCAGCTAAACCTGGAAACCATTTCCAGGTACATCAACAAGAAAATCATCAGTAGAAGTCAGCATAGCTTCACCAAGGGGAAGTCATAACCATCTTGGTAACTTTTACAATGAAATGACTGGCCTAGTAGATGAGGGGAGACCAGTGGATATCATCTACCTGGACTTGAGCAAGGCCTTTGGCACTGTCTCCCATAAGATCCTCATACAGAAGCTGTTGATGTATGGGATGGATGAGCAGTGGATGAGGTGGACTGAAAACAGGATGAATGGCCAGGGCCAGAGGGTGGTGGCACAGCATCTAGTTGGAGGCCCATGACTAGTGGTGTACCCCAGGGGTGAGTACTGGCTCCATTCCTGTTAGACAACTCCAGGAACAATCTGGATGATGGGACAGCATATACCCTCAGCAAGTTTGCAGATGACACAAAACTGGGAGAAGTAGCTGATACAAGAGAGGATCATGCTGCCATCCACAGGGATCTCGACAGGCTGGAGAAATGGGCTGACAGGAACCTCATGAAGTTGAACAAGGGGAAATGCCAAGTCCTACACATGGGGAGGAACTACCCCAGGCACGAGTACATGCTGGGGGCCACCCAGCTGGAAAGCAGCTGGGCAGAGAAGGAACCTGAGGGTCCTGGTGGACACCAAGGCTAATGGTATCCCAGTTGCCAGCAGGTTGACAGAGGTGATCCTTCCCCTCTACTCAGCACTGGTGAGGCCACACCTGGAGTGCTGTGTCTGGCCTTGGGCTGCCCAATACAAGACAGACATGGACATACTGGAGAGAGCCCAGCAAAGGGCCACAAAGATGCTGAAGGGACTGGAGCATCTCTCCTGTGAGGAAAGGCTGGGACTGTTCAGCCTGGAGAACAGAAGGCTCAGGGGGGATGTCAATGTATATAAATACCTGAAGGGAGGGTGCAAGGAGGACAGAGCCAGGCTCTTTCCAGTGGTGCCCAGTGACAGGATGAGAGGCAATGGGCACAAACTGAAACACAGGAGGTTCCCTCTGAACATCAGGAATCACTTTTCACTGTGAGAGTGACAGAGCACTGGCACAGGTTGCCCAAGCAGGTGGTGGAGTCTTCATCCCTTCCAACCGCAGACATCCTGTCATTCTGTGAATAAAACTTGAAAGAACATTTATTTGCTGATTTGGCTTACAAAGCTTCTAATTTGGTAAGACAGGAAAGGCTTAACTAGTTGGCAGCAGCACACGCCTGCTCCCAGATAAGCGAATGGCATTTCCTGCCCAACAAAGCAGAGGCTGTATCAGAAGAATTTGTTACTACACAGGGAGCAGTTTTATAGGCTAAGGGACACAAAGAAACTGAAGAAGCCTTCACTACCCTGTTTCATAATGCAAGCAGCACCTGTTACAGGTAAAATTGTTATGCTCCCTTCACTTCAGGAGCAACCATCTCCCTGTATCTTGCTCCATGGGGAGCCAAAGAATTCCCACATAGGATTCCTACTCAGCCCCTGAAATAAAGCAGTTAGCCACCTTTCTCATTAGGATGCACCTAAAGCCTATGCTTTTCCCCCCAACATTCAGATCGAGTTTGCTCAGCCTGTCTCTCACAAGTTGCCATGATCCAGAAGGCCATAAGGTTTATTTACAGCTATCCAGTGAACACAGTGGAGCCCACATCATCAAGAGGAGCTAGAGTAACCAGGCTTAAGGACTCCCAAAACCCATGCAGACACTAGGCAGAAGTGCAGAAAAGCTGTACCTGAAGAGCATTTATAACTGACTCTTAGCATCATCTTTCCTATAAATCTCTGCAACATATTTTCCTTCTCTTCTTATCTCAGACTGAACACTGGTGTTACCAAGCTGTCCTGAATCACAGGCAGGCCCTCTCACCCAAGCTCATGGTTCAAAATCCTCAGCAACACACAGAATCATGGATTCACAGGGGCTGGCAGGCACCCATGGAGATTGTCTTGTCTCTCAGACCTCATGAGAATTTGGCTGCTTCATAAGACTTTCACAAAAGATCTTTTCGTTTTGAGATCAAATCTTCAGTTTTCAGCTGGTCTCCCTAAATCTTACGAGGACTCAAGGGAGGGTTTGAGTTTTGTTTGCAGATGGCAAGCTGATAGTATCAGAGCACGACTACACTCTCTATCTACAGGCTCACATGTTACTTGGATAAAGTATCACCCCAATAACATTTTTTAAAAAAAGTTACATCCACCACTTGCATAGCTGTGCAGGAACCTAAGCTCGCTTATTTTTTGCTGAGATGGCAGTAGCTCTTCCACATACGTTCTGCAAGCACATACAGACAGGCAGCTGATTCCACCTAAGCAAGGCTGAAATTCATTGACCCTCAGTTCAGCAACAGGAGGATGAACTGACCTATGAGACTTCCACTATGTGGCACTCCCCCCAGAAAGCATTCTGCACTCCTCCATGTGTGACAACTCACCAGCTGCAAGCAAAATAATTAAAGAATAAAGCAAGGCCCATGGTTGAACAATGCTTTCTTTAATATTAGTTGAAGCACTAGATGTTGCCTTGTTCAAGTCTTACACACAGGTAGGTGGCATAATACCTGGCTGATTCTCCAGAGAGAAAACGTCTTCCTAGATTACATTAAAAAAAATTACCATTTAAAAAAAAATTACGTTACATCAAAAAAAAATTCAACATTTTCAAGATTATAATTGTATTTTTTTGCCAACTGCCAGCTATTTTGCAAATTACAGCTGCAGCCCAGGAAGTAAGTTTTACCATTGCCCTTTCATAAGTATTAGCACACTTTGCTTTTTTGTCTTCAGTACTTGATGCAGTAAACTGAAACTTGCATAAAAAGCTTAAGAAATGCCAGATTTTCTCACATTTTTAAGCTAGAGAATGTATTTCAATCTCTAAACATTCAGGATTCTGACAGTTTTATTTGCTACAACTACTTTTCTTTTAAAGAACAATGTAAAATATAGTTCACATTGAAGATTAGCAGTTCTATGTAATCTGAAGGCAAAATGAACTACAAGTTAGATAACATTAAAAATATTTTGTCAAGATGTTCTCCTGTATCAAAAGTACTAATTGCCAATGGAGTTGTCAGATGTATTACTGTCAGATGTTTCTGGCATGCCAGTGTCCTTTCAGGCAGGAAAAGTAATCACTTTTTGCTACTTAAAAATACTTCATTGCCATATCTGAGGAAGCATTACAAAAATTAGGAATTACAACATTACAGCTAAATGTAGAACTAAACACTACAGTTGTAGTGAACAAGCAATGCTATGTGAGAAGTTAAGCTGAAATTTTTATACATTTCCTTAGACCAGTATGAACATATTTCAGTCAAGTGTACCGGTTAGTGCTGAAGGAGGTCAGTCACCAGCTGACAACCCAATATTTGCATTAAGATCAAGCCCTCAAGCTCAAAAAAATTGTGAGGTTATTTAAATTGGAACTAATTTATTAAGTCAAAGAGAAGTTATTACTGTTTGAAAGATTACTGCAGCAGGAAAGCATTCTGTAAGAGATGAGAACAGGAAATAGTGCTGCAGATTCAAATCTGCATGTGTCTGTCTCATCATTACAGACAAAACCTCGTTTTTTTGCTGCATCCTAGAAAAACTATGGTCAGACTTTAGAAGATGCTGGTGTACATTCACAACAGTGTGCATTAGTCAGGATCTCAAATGGAATCGTCATCTGCTCCCAACTGAAGAGCCTAAAAGCTTCTTTTTACCATAGTGTGGGACCTAAGTATCACCTTAACTAGGTCCACAGGTATATGAAATAAAAAAAATCTTACAAGTGATTAATTAAAGCTTAAGTATGCCATGCCCTTTTGGGAAAGCAGGAAGCTGAACTGAGTAAACTGGAAAAAACAAAACAACTGCAGCACGTGCTGCATCATAGCACTAGGAACTTGCCCTATGTAAACTGGCTTTTGCATGTTTTAAAATATTGATCCTGAGGCCTGCTGCAGTTAAAGCTGGTCTGAAGACATTATACACTTATAGGAAGAAGGCCCAGATAATAATTCCTTTTAGCCTGGAAGTAAAGTAAAACAAAAAAGAAACAAAACAAAACTCCAAAACCAACCAACCAAACAAACAAAAACCCATAAAAAAACAAACCAAAAACCCAGCTATATCTCACTGCCATGTTAGGCAGGTTTATAGCAGGAAGTGCTGGGAGATGGGGAAGAATAGTTTCATTCTGAGGAAGCTGTGTGACACTACTTTATATATACAGTTGGAAAAATTGAACACAGCAAAACCCACTGGACTAGAAAAGCCTCTGCCTTCAAGCTGAGGGCAGAGTATCCTCATCTGCATTCCATGAAAACTGTGCCTTTGTTTCAGCATTGGAGAAGAGACAGCTTTCCTGTTCCGCATAATTCACTCAATAAAAAAAAGCATTTTACTGTATTCTAGGAAGTCAGCAACCACTTGTAAATGTGTGTAGTTCCTAGCTTGTTCAACTTTTATAAACACTGTAGGAAGAGTTCAGACTTCAGGAGACAGGAAAAACACTCTCACTGAAGTTGTTTCAGCTACTCTGGTAAAAATAAAAGCATTTGAAATTAACTGATGCTATATTTAAGCACCAATCTACCTAACTTTAGACCAAGAATTAAAAACATCATTCTCTGGAAACTGGAACTAAAATTGAGTAAATAGCACACTTTGTGCTTTAGACCTTGTTAAAGCACAAACACCAATAACCTGCAACTAACAGGCACACTGCATAGCTTATTGTAAAATCAAGCTAAGGCTTCCAGAGCTTGAGGAGGCCATCTTCACTGTAAGTGGCAATCAGGTTCTGGTGGGGGTGATGAGCAATGCCAATGACATCCTTTTCATGAACCTAGAGAATAAGCAGAAAGACACATCAGGAGATTCTTCCTTTAGCAGATTCAAGCCAAATATTCTCTTCAAACAAGAACTAGAGGCAAGCTGGACTGATGTTTAACATGCTTTGTGCATACAGCAAAAGCAGAGGAACATACCCCCCCAATATTAAGTTCCAGCTGCAAACAATTTTTGTGACATAGCAGTTACTTTTTACTGGGTGAGGGAAGGTTCAGTGAAGGTTTACATCCACTGAAATTCATGACATCTAAGTGTTCCCCATTAAATTTAGCTATTCAAGCTGGTATTCCTCTTTAGTTTCCAAGGCAAATTAAAGCCTGACAACTTGGTCAGATTCTCCATCAGCTGGAGCCCAGGTCAAGACACGCTCTAGTTCCAGTAAGTTCAAACCAATTCACCCTTGGCTTGGTGGGTAAACATTTTCCTAACTTTTAATATTAAAATAGTTCTAAAAAAACCTAAAGACATTCTACAGCCAAGTGTTCTAGAATGCATTTGTTACCAGTCATGGCTGCAAGAGGTGAAAGATTCCTTGGTACGAGACTTCTCCTTACAGACTTCTCCTTACGGACTTCATAAGTAATGAACATTTAGATCATCCTTGTGTTTAGAACTCTGCAAAAGCTCAAAGCTAAGAACTTACAGTCAGAGTTCTCTCCAGCTTGCCGGTCACTGTGCTAAAGCAATAGAGCACGAAATCTTCACCAACACAGTAGATCCATTCACCACGAGGTGAAAGCGCACAGCATACAAAGTCACCACCTTCTCTCTTACCAGAGCTAAAACTTCTTACAATCTGTAAAGATACCCCCCCAAAAATATTTGGCACAATTAATCTGCAGCACATCATTACTATGTTCAGGGCAAAAAAATTTATGCAGTACTAGGTCTGTTTAGAACACAGGATCTCTCCATAGCTGCAATCGCTTTCTGCAAGTCAAGCTGTTCTATAACCTGGGTACAGAATAGTTTGTCATGAAAGCAAGCTGGAGAAATCAGGTTTAACCCAAGGCTAGGTTGTTAACTACATTTTTGGCATTCTTAACATGATTGAGAGAGAGAGAGACTTGAAAGGACACCAATAAGACCACATACTTGTCCTTGCATATTCATAATGACGACTGTGTTCGATCTGTTGCAAACAACAAAGTGTTCTGGGTTTTTAGGCAGGAGAATGACACTGTTCACAGTAATGTCTGTCCCAGCAGTGCTGCCAAGAGATTTGAAGGTGTTTGAGCACTCTGTCGTCTTCACATTCCAAACCTAGTATGAAAAATAAATGTAAAACCAATTAGCTTTAAAAAATTAAACAAGAATGAGCTGATTCGGGATACAGGATTCCGATTTCTTTTAAGGCTCCTGAGGGGAAATATTAATTCCAAAAATTGTAGTTTAAAGCAGATTTTTAAAAAAAGTAATTATCACATCTATTATGAAGTGTGGACACCATGAACAATTTCATTACAACTGAACTGAAAGTGAATTTCCATGATCCAAATTCAGCCTGGCTCCCTTTCATTAAGCATATTCCCTGACGGGTGAGACCGGACTTGCTTTCTGGTTTTAGCTAGTATCTGTGAATATATGGCAGCCTCTGCACATGCAATTTGCCTTACACAAGACAGACATGAAAATCACTGAAAAAGCAAAGCCTCACTGATATCAGTGGGAGAGACATCCCAGCTTACAGCTGCTTCAGGCTCAACATCAGGCTGTTCTAGCTGTTTAGAAACAGAAAATGGAACTGCTTGTTTAATATTTAAAGTAAAACGTAACTCACCATCTGTGGAATATTTTTGCTGTTTACATACTAATACAATCAAAATGAAAGATACCACCTTCTTAGGCTATTCCCATGATTGGGACAGTCTAGCAAAGAGTGCAAGTTTGAAATAATGCCCCATTTAATATGAGCAAAATCCATCACACTCTCCTAGGCCACATCTATAAACTGGATCTGTTTACCCACCCTCCATGCACTGTATCGATGCCCTACTTAAGGTAGCCATTTCTATATTTATTTTATTATTAGTCAGTAATGCCCTGTACACAACAACGCTTTACTCCTCTTAAATACTACACACTGAGTAGTTCCACTCTTTGCCGAGACTAGAAGCAAACCTATCACTTCTACAACCAGTTTCGTTAATGCTAGATTTACCTAGCTTACACAGCAAGGGACTCCTAAGCACCAAGAAATAAACAGGTGTCCAACACAGCAAGCAAGAAAATGCCATTATTTCAGACAAGGGAATCCCTACATTCTAGGACAAGCGGTGTCATAGTCAATTCTATTCCTAGAATAAAGCAGGAACAGGCAGTAAGTATTGCACTTATGTCCTCCTTTCATAAACACTGCACAAACAGGCTCTACAGCAGTCTGTAAGCACAGTATGAAACTTCACCAGTTCTGATTTACATGAATCTACAGCAAAGGTGTCATGGACAAGTGATTTAGATCACTTAAAGAATCACCATTAAAAGGTATTAGCAAAAGTGATTTTAATGTGAATTTGTACCAGCAGAAAGAGTTATTATTGCGGATAACCCCAAGTCCTTCTCCAATGACAGCAGCAGTCATAACAAATCAGCTGCAACATGCAAAGATTCTGAATGTGTTATTTAGAAAGGGTAAATGTTATCTTACCTTCACTGTGCCATCAGAGGATGCACTGATAATATAGTGGCCGTCCTGGGTAAAAGTAGCTTCATTGACAAAGGAAGAATGACCACGGAATTCCTTTAAAGTCTTCCCAGATTTTAAACCATGAATCCTGTCAAACAACAGAGGTCACAACTAAGCAAACAACTGAGGTAGTATGAACCAACCACCTGCTGGCTTCACCATATTTTAAATCCGAGATACCTTTGACAGGCAACAATAAAAAGTGCTAAAAATCTGCAAGATGTAAGTCTTTATCACGAGCCCCTTTCGTCAAAGACATTATGTCTTCCTGTGAAATGTTTAGGGAAATACCATCAACCTTCAGCCTCAAGGACCTGTATGTAATAAACACTGTACCTATCAGACGACAGGACTATGAAAGGGGAAACTATGAAGCTGACAAAACAAAAATTACAGCATTAAGTTTGGAAGTCTCTAGTCCAACAGATTCCTCAACTTTAAGTGAGGTCAGCTTGCTCAGGGCCTTGACCAACTCCAGTTGGGTTAAGAAAAATTCTTTCCTTACACTCAAGCAGAATTTTTTCCTCTTTTGCAAGCTATTGCCATTGCTTATTACTGTGCAATTCTGTGAAGAGTTTGCTCAGTCATCTAAAAGGAAATCATACTGCTAATCTGTATCAGCCTTAAATTGCAGTACCTACTGGCTACAGAAATACAGTTTTCAGGCAGAAGTCTGAAGCCTTGAGAATGAAATTTTTTATTCCATTTGAAGCTTGCTGTCCTTGATTCAACATTCACCCTTACATAATTTCAATTAAACTGCTTATGCTATAGTTCATACATATCAGGATTTAAACAGATGAACATCTCTCATTAATATGTTTTGTAATGCCTGTTCACTGTGCATTTGCCTCCAGATCCACACATTTCTTCATTTGGTCTTTACAGTAGATAAGAGCCTAAAGCTATTAAACATATTACATAATCCCATTCAATTAAACGCAAAACATAGAGAGTTGTCAAGCACTGGATCAATCTGATTCGCAATGCAAGTACCATATCCTGCAACTCAATTTTGAAAATGACATATGAGGAAGTTGAAAACCATGACAAACCAGAAAGCTAGACTGAGAGAAACCTCATGATGTTGAGAACAGATTGCTGCTGAACCACCTCAGCTGCCAGTATCAACCGGGGGCTGACTGGCTGCAGAGGGGGTCTGCAGCAAAGGACCTGGCAGGCCTTGGGGAGAACAAAGTGAAAGCCAGCAGCTTGCTGTGGCATTGACAAAACCCAGCCACACACCAGATGCATTAGGAGAGGCACAGTGTGCAGATCAAGGGTCCCCCCTGTCTGGCAGAGGTGTAGCCACATCTGGAGGACTATGTCCAGTTTTGGGCCCTCACTAAGGGGCCACTAAGATGGCCAGAGGGCTGGACCACTTGAGGCATGAGGAGAGGCTGAGAGGGCTGGGTGTGTTCAGCCCAGAGAAGTGAAAGTTCAGAAGCATCTAATTGCTGTCTTCCTTGTAGACAAGTAAGTTAAATTACTAAGTAAATCAGGATAACCTCAAAGAAGAAAAATAACTGTGTACTAGACAAAACTGACCTAAGCTACTTTCAACTGCAGGAAAGTGTCTGCGTAGCAACAGAATAGCTTTGTTGCAAACCAAATCTACCCAGCAGTTGGCAAATTCCACTCAGTAACAAGACACCTAATAGGTGCAGAATCAGAATTACTGCACTACACAAATGTTAAGCAACACCTTCCAGATGCTAAAAGCTGCAGGAATAGCAGTTTGATGAGGTTGCTGCTCATCTGGTAACTTAGATTAGAACAGACTTTGGGTATTTTTGGGACTATTTGCTAGTATTAAAAGTTACAATTAACTTTCATTTTTGCTTTTATACACCCTGAAATGATCCTTTAAAAAAAAAAAAAGAAGAAAGAAAAAAAGATATCTAAGTCCTTACTAAACATCTGAAAAATTGTAACTATTTGGTTAACATCACTACCCAACAAGTTTTTACAGATTAAGTGGAATCAGATTCTTCTCAGAGGTGCACAGCTGAAGGACAAGAGGCAAAGGGCACAAGTGAAAGGAAACCAAAACAAAATGTCTTTTCTTATGGCCAAACAGGATTTTCTCCGAGAGGGCTGTACAGCCCTAGGACAGATGCCAAGAGAAGCAGTGGGGTCTCCACCCATGGAGATTTTGAGAACTCAGATCGACAAAGCCCTGAGCAAGCTGTCCTAACTGAAAGGTTGGTTGTGCTTTGAGAAGCATGTTGGACTAGAGACCTCTAGAGGTACGTTTTAAATTAAAGTGTTTTATAATTTATGCCTAGCCTGCCTTACACAGGTTGCACAGACACTTGAGCTTTCTTGGAGCATAGATACAAGCCTAACCACCTTCATACCTGTCCCACAACCATCCATTCCTTTGTCATGTTGTGCCTTAACAGATTATCTGCACACCAGGTAAGCTCCAGTAACTGTATGCATACAAGTCTTAGCACGTGGAAAGTGTCAGGTAATGCCAAGTTTCTTCAGTATAGCCAAACCGCATTAAGAGGGATGTACTTCTTTGGATTTTCTGCAGACTGACCTTATATTCAACCACTGTAACTGAGCTGACACACTATCAACTTGCTAAACTACTCTAACTGGATTGTGTACCAAAGCCAACTCCAAAGATTGCAGAAAGACTCAACTCCCATTCCTGGGTTCTCAAGATCTCAGCCTGTGGGCCTTCAACATCATGAACAGTTCCACTGCCCAAAAGGAATGCCACAGATATTGGGAAAATGAACTATACAGATTGGTTAAAAAAACCCCATAGCTCATATCCCAACATAGTGCTGGTGCTACACAGCAAGGGATGGTTTGCCTGAGAAATGGAAAGCATTCCCATGCCCAAAAGCAGAACTGCAGAGACAGCCTGAAGAGGTGGGAATTATCTTTTGGGAGGGAAAAGAAAAATGATCCTGTCTCTGTGGCTCTTTTTCATGTCTGAAAGAAGTTTTTTTTCCTCTTGCCAGTATAAATGTATAATGGTACAAACCATCTGGCCACATGATTTTTCTCTAACAGAGATTCTAAAACAGTGGTACATGTCAGAGAATCACAGAATAACTTAGACTAGAGGACACCTCAGAACACCTCCATTCCACTGCTCTCCTCAAAGCAACATCACCTTCCAAGTCACTCATGGTCTTGTTCTGTTTAGCTTTGAAAGCCTTAAAGGGTTGAGATCCATTCCCAGCCTGAGCCAACTCTCTCAGCATTGTCCAAGCACTGCTTCCTTCTCAAGGAGTTAAAAAAAAAAAAAAGTTTTTCCTTATATACAATCAGAATTTCACTTCCTGGACTTTGTCCCTTGTAGGAACTGCACTTGAGAAGAGTCTGGCATTGTCTTATCTGTGACTTACTCTAGATGAGGCAACTAGGTCCCTTCTCAGCCTTCTTTTACCAGGCCGATCAGGCCTGGGTCTCTCAGCCTTCCCTTATACACCACATACATCTGAAGAGATACTCAGAACAAAAGCAGCACCATAAAGAACAGGAAAGGCTGTACTGCCATTTCCAGATAAAAATTGTAACTCCTGCTCTTGCACCTCTCAGGGTCCATCAGCCTGGCTGTCTTCCAGGGTTGGAGCTCTAGTGTTCCATGTCAGACTGCTAGGAAGAACAGGTGCCCAAAAAACATTTTCTTTGGGTCCTTCTTCCTCTTGTTCCCACTCTAAAGCGAGTTCTCTGGATCCAAGAGAGATAGAGGGGTGGATCTGGGGCTGGGACAAGAATCCTTTTACAAGGGCTGGCAATGCATGACTTAGGGAGCAGCAACACAGTGCAAAGTGACTGTCCCTGAATGTGTAGGGACACGCCTCATCTTATTTCACTCACATGCAGCTTACAGGGACACAGAGACCTTTACTCATGCCCAAGGCAGAGCCGTGACTATTGCTAATTGAGATTCCCAAGCACTTTTGGAAATTTTGCTCTTTTCAGCAACTATCAGGAGGAAGCAGAGAAGATGCACCAAAATACTTAAAGCTGCTCTCAGATGATTTCTTCAGATAGTACGAAAAGAAGAGCCCATGATACTGCTTCACAAGGAAAATGAACTGGATAGAATCAACTACTGTCAGGTTGTCTATTAAAGCTAGTGAGTACAATTAGGCTGTTTAGGGTGTTCCAAAAAATGTCATCATCCTGTTATCCTCAGATCTTTTTTTTACCTTAAGCTTATTATAAAAAAATGTTACTTGTGAAGGTTGACACAACTGTTTCTTAAGATAGGAGTCTCCCAGAAAGAACATGCGCAAGGTCAATGTAAATTACAATAGAGCAGAAGAGGTACTTGGCCCCTAGCCCTGGAAGAAAGCAAGTTAAGCAAGGTGAAAGGTCAAACTTCCAAACTGTTTCTCTCCAACCCTCAGCAGTCATGATCTCCTATTAGTATTAAAACTCAACGCAAAAGGATCAAATCCCAGGTCAAATGAATCTATATTCAAAAGTTTAACTGCTTAATGTGAAAATTCTGCTTTCTTTCCTCCTGCACTGTAGCTCACACATTCTCAGTTTATTTACCTGATTGTCTGATCAAAAGAAGCACTAAGAATTTGGCTGCTGTCTTTGGAGAAACTGAGGCATGTAACACCTTTACTGTGTGCTCGTTCAAATCTTCTCAGACACTGACCGCTCTGGATCTTCCACACCTGGAAAGGAAACAGCAAATGAAATAGAGGTGGTTACTTTGTTAAGAGATCACAGAAGCTTAAACGTCAGTGCTAATACATATCTGTTTCTGAGCCATGCTAAACTTCACTTGTTTTTATACAGAATTGCAACATTACTGCAATTGCAAGTGAACCCTTCTGGTCACTACCTCTGCCAACATACCGTACAAAAAGATTTGTACCTTGATCTTTCCATCTTGTGCTCCGGTTGCTAGCATTTCTGTATCTCTGCTGAAGCACATGCACAGCACTGCATCATCCATCATCATAAAATTATCTTGTGCCTGGTACTTCAGATCCTAAATGAAAGCAGAAGATCCACCAATCAAAACAGTGAATTCCATTAAACACTTTTTAAGGCAAAGTGCAAATGCACTAGCACTTTTAACTTCAGTTATATTTTATAACCTATCATCAAGCAGACCTCACAGCCTTATAGTAACAGGGAAGTGCTATTGTCACCATTTTAGAGGCAATGACAATGATCTGGAAAGGTTAAAATTAAAAAATATTATCACAGAGGGAAGTCTATGACAAACCAGACAATTAAACCCACGTAAAGATTCCAGACCAATATCTGAATTGGCCAAGCAGACATTCTTTTCAGATTCACAGTCCCTGAGAAATGAAAACAAACATAAAGTATAATCTCAAAGAATAAAACCAGGTACTTGGCCAATGAACTATCTGTCTGAAATAAGGTACAATTTACCTTCCTAATCTTTCCAGTAGTGAAGTTCCATACTTCAATGAAACCATCAACAGAGCCAGTAACAAGATACTGTCCATCGGGGGAAAACCGAGCACACTCCACATGCGACTTCTGTCCAAACTGTTTTTAGGAGAAAACAAATTAAGCCTAATAAGCAATTTAAAAAAAACCCAACTCCTTAACACAAAACTGTAGTCTCATTTTGGTGGCAAAAATACAGTATTTTACAGAAGTATGCATTCACAAATTTAATGTTAAGGTACAAAAAACCCTGTCAATACCTACTACTAGCACTTCAAAAACAAAAACAAAAAAACCTCCTTTTGATCTGGTAATATCTGTGGAAGCTACATCAAACACTCCGTGCTTGCAGCAGCAGTTGGGTTGGTTGTCTTCATATTTTGGGGTTTTTTTGCAGTGAATTGTATATGGTAACAAACACCTTTCCAGTACCCAACATATATCCCTAGCAGACTTCAGAAATTTCTGAAGTAGTACAAGTTGCTTCACTTGGAATGATGTTTCTCCAGTGAAATTCTCACAGAAAATGTTTGGTATTTTTTAAATACAATTTTTAAATTTTACATTTTTAAATACAAGTGACCACAACAACTGAGTATAGAAAAAGTTTTTCACTAATCAATACAAAAATCAAAGATCAGTACTGGTGAACAAAACAAGTTCTCATAAAGCATTTTTACCAAGCTGCTCCTGAATACAACAAATTGATTTCACAAGTTCCAACTCATGACTTCCAAAAAACATTATCTTCTGTTCATTGGGAGAACTGGTAGAGCTACTACAGTGAACTAACACTTCTCACTGTACAAAACTGCTTGGTGAAGTTGAAAAGCCTTCACAGTAGGAAACTGCCTATTCCACATTGTGAGTGCTGCTGGACAACTATGTCATTACAGCAGAGTTTTCTTTCTCTTTTGAAATCTACATGATAAAATCCTTAGAAAGGAGATACTGATCATATTAGTAGACATGGTATGTAGTAGTTCATGATCAAGACTTAAGTGGTTCACAGAAGCTAATATGCATGCACAGAAGTTTAAGACACAAGTATTTCCTTGCACAAATAAAGAAGGGGACTAAACAAACCACTTCTGAAAACTCAATGATTCTGAACTGCAAAGTCAAAGTAACAACGAATACATTTATCATATTCACAAATACCATGAGCACCCAATCTTGTTAAGGGACCTTATTTCAGGCTCTCATGAAAAGTCTCCTGATGAGATAAAGCATGGAGAAGAAGGGGAGGGAGAGGGAGGGAGGGAAGGGGGGAGAAGGGGGAAAGGGCGGGGGAGGAGTTGGAGGGGTGGAGGGAAATGACTTACAAAAAAGAGAACAGAAGCATTCAGGTTTACTCTTATCTCCCAACATAAAAGCACAGGAAGGAACAAGCAGCATTAGCATACATAAAAGCAAACACAACATCACCTTAATATGCCTGCTCAGCTGCGTGGGGAACTTTTCTTCTTCCACGTCTTTCACAGCTGCTTTGCCTCTGAACAAGTCAATTGTCATACCAGGAGGAAGCAGGCCCTGATGCTGCTGCCATTTCAGTGCCTTTTGAGGAGTTGAAAGCCATACCGTTAGGTATCAGTTAACAAACATCTTCCTCATCAAGGCTTGCTTCTAATTAACACAATACAGCGATAGTTTCTTGCACCCCTACAAATTGTACACCTGTACAGTTTGAGACAAATACACTGCAAACAGTTACTTGAAACAAGACTTACCAGATTATGCTTCCTGACTCATGATCACAAACAGAATAGAACATTATCCCCAAATGTTTTTTTTTTGCAAGTGAGAATGACTCAGGCCCACCCTCTCATTCTACCTTCAGTACATAGTATACAGTACGTACACAGTGTGAGTTCAACCTTGCATTAAATTACCCAACTTGTTGTCTATATGCCTAGAACTGCATACATTAACACTAAAAATGACACATAAGCTCTCTTGGAAGACACAAGTGAACTTCATTCAAAAGACAGTATCTTATACAATTCCCTCAACAGAGAGCTGCCTTCAGTCACAGGACATACCAGTTATGCTGAGAGAATGTGCTTGGCATACTTACAAGCTTAAAAAGTAAGATGCAAGCCATAAAACAAGAAAATACATTAAATACTGTCTGGATAGAGTATCAATGAATACATTCTGAGAATCAAAAAAAGTTGTAATTACAACAGAAACAGTATGTACTAATATGCACTTTGAAAATAATCTTCTCTATGCGCTGAGTATTTATTCTAGGGGAAGAAATCTACCACTGCAGTGCTGACTTTTCCTGCAAACCACTAAATCCTTGCCACATGGAGAAAATACCATTTTTAACTATACCAGATGTAAATGTGCAGTATTTAAGCTTTACTTTTATAGAGCTGGAGAATCAACTACATCATAGTTAGTTTTATGCGGCACAGATCTACAGAAACTGACATAGCTACCAAAACATTTTTCAAGAATTACCTGCCCCAACAACGCCATCAGACGAGATGGAGGTACCACGCTGACTTCTCCAGCTAAAGCTTGTGCAATAGCAGCTCTCCGCTTCTCTTTGCTACTTCCATCTGGGTATGCCTAGAAAGAAGTTATTTTTAGGAAGTGATTCTTCTAAACTGTTTTCCATAAAAACATTCATTGCTCTGAACTGAAGCCCCTTCCAGATTAATTTTCTATTAGGCCTTCAAAACAGCCCTTCTCTTTAACACTAACCCTTGAAATATTTCGGATATGCTTTCACTAAAAATGTCAAACTGACAGTATCAGTTCAGAAATAACGCCTTGTTATTACACAACAATAATTTTATTTACAAAATGTGAATTTTCTTCTGCATATATAAGACAGGAAAAGCAAGGCACAGATGTCATCCTCTGTGTCATGGATTAACCTCAGCCAGCAACTAAGCACCATACAGCTGCTTGCTCACTTTCCCCTGCTCAGAGGGATGGGGGAGAGAATTGGAAGGAAATAGGTAAAACTCATAGGTTGAGATAAGAACAGTTTAATAGAACAGAAACTAATAATGATAATAACAGTAATAAAAAAAGGATTGGAATATACAAAACAAGTGATGCAGGATGCAATTGCTCACCACTTGCTGATCCATGCCCAGTTAGCTCCTGAGCAGCAATCCCCTGCCCAGGCCACCTCCCCCCAGTTTAAATACTGGGCATAACATCACATGGTATGGAATACCCATTTGGCCAGTCTGGGTCAGCTGCCCTGGCTGTGTCCCCTCCCAACTTCTTGTGCTCCTCCAGCCTTCCTGCTGGCTGGCCTTGAGAAGCTGAAAAATCCCTGACTTAGTCTAAACATTACTTAGGAACAACTGAAATGAAAAATATCAGTGTGTTATCAACATTCTTCTCATACTGATCCTGAAACACCACACCATACCAGCTACTAGAAAGAAAATTAATTCTATCCCAGCCAAAACCAGGACACTGTGGCAGGATACAAGTATAAATCCTCAAACTCTCACCTGCAGTATACTTCAAAACCACTGCTCTGGTGCCTTGCGATCAAGTGTTATACACCATTTCCCAAACACTTAATACAACGTGTAAAATCATCAAACCGGGAAGCTGCACGTTCTCACTCCCACAGTGGAAAAGAAAAGATGACGTAAGTAAGCTGTTAGCAACTTGGACCAATGCCAGGGGTCATGCAAGAGAGCATTGCGAGGTCTCTAGGAAGAGGGTACTATACCTCACGAGGATCAAAGTAAGATCTGGCCAGAAGGTTTTCAAGGTGGATGTACCGCTCTGGCTGAGTTTGTTTCAGCATGATCATGGGATCTGTTTGTCTCAGGAGAGACCTGGCAGCACCTAGTTCCCGGAGCTCAATCAACTCCAGCACAACCTGCACCAAGAGACAAACATTTGCGTTAGCCAAGAGTAAGCGGAAAACAAGAGAGGGGCTTCCACCCAGACCAGAACAGGCTGTACGCAGCCTGCACTCACTCACCTGCTCGTAGAGATCAATGAGGGTCTTGTCGGGCAGCTTCAGCGACTGTATGGCTTGTAGCACCGTGTCCCAATGCCCGCTGTTGATGTCAGCCACAAAGCTCTCGATACTGTCCACGGTGTTGAGGGAGACGGTAGTTTCCTCCTGGAGGGTGGCGAGGGCTCGGTGGAGGCTGTTCTCTTTCAGGTACTGCATGATCAGTCGGATCACGCTGCAGGGGAACAGCGCGCAGTCACGGCACCGGCCCCACGGGCCACCCTTCCCCGCGGCCCTCCCCACCCGCC